CTGTGCCTTCAAGCAACCAAAGATCAAAAACTTTTAGCTAAAATATGAGACTTTCATCCAAATGTCCCCAGCAGTACACCGAGCAAGTTTGATGCAGGTAGGATGTAAAAGAATAATAAGTAAATAATTACTTGTTTTATGACTCTGATAAGCAGCCAGTGGTTATTGCTGCTTTACTTCACGATAACTAATGAGGTTGTTTGTCCCGCCTCCGACTGTTTCGGTCTGTGCGAAGCAGAAGCAGAGCTATGGCTCCGACAGGTAAACGTTGCAGAGTTTGTGATGGCGGAGCGGTCGAAACGGTCGAGGACTAGGACACCTGTTGTTTTACACTTGGGTCTAGAGACTTGACGCTGTTGTTTCCGTAAATAGATGATAATTCGCGCTCCCAGCATGCGAAACTCATGCCAAACTGTGGTCTTGTTTACCGAGTTGACTTATGCTAACGACATTAGCGAGCTATCAAAGCTAGCTGAACGGCTAATCCACGTTAACCCGTGCCGACTGTGCCAGCTGACTAACGGACTGTTCTGAGTTGAGAAAAATACGAGACATACATGTTCTGTATACTGTAGTACTTGTCTGACTGTTCATATTGTTGCTTGCCTGTTACGTTGGTAAACGCTGCTCATTAGCCAGTATTGGTGCAATGAATGAGCTGCTGTTTTATGGATTAAAGTAAAACAGTAAACATAAGTGAAACTAATGAATTTGGTGTTCATTTGTCAGTGATCGAACTGTTTTTCGTGATTTTTTTTAAATAACGTAGTTGCACAAGTTTATTCCAATGCAAAATTGAGCTCATTTCATTCAAGCTTTATTCTGTGGTTAGTGATGTTCATAGATTCGCTTAAAGCTTAAATTTAATTTGACTGCAAGCCTCACAGGTCAGGATTTTGAGTTTGAGCCTCATTTTTTTGGAATCCAGAAAAGCAGAGAGTTAAAGAGAAACAGGAGTTTTCTGTTTGCCTTTCAGAGTCTCAAAGAAGACTTTCTGTTTAATGGACTGCGAGCCACTGAGGAGATGGAACTGAAGCCCTGATCCTGGCCTGTGTTCTGGTAGGAGCGAACTGTACTCTGACACACAGCTCTGTGGAGAGGATTTACACAGGTCTGCCTCTTCACAGATCATCGAGCTGGTTTGGACCTGAGAGCAGTGACACTAAAACACCTATTTATTTGCTGGATATATCCTGTGGTGCTTATTGAGTAATTATCCTGTCAAACCCCAGTACAACCTGTTATTTTTGCCATAGGTTTTGTGGCATGTCTACCATTATTGCTGTCCATCTTCTTGACTCTGTTCTTAAAATCTTGTGATGTTTACTATTGGTATCGAAACAAATGTATTTTCTTCACATACTACCTACACTTGGGCTCCTTGTCTTGTTTGGCGACTCATTCCTGAGCAGCTTTTGTTCTGTGGTGGGCTGCACTGTCCTGCCCTGGGCAGTTGTTGGCATCAGGAATAGCTGTTGCCATTGTAGTGCCTGGTCTAGAACAATGTTTAGGTATGTGGTATGTGTCAAAGCAACATCTACATGAAATAGATTAGAAGCTTTATTGTCACTATACGGCAGTGCAAGACATTCAAAACTAAATTTTGGAAAACAAAAAACACACAAGGAACACTATGACAAAAACTGGCTGATTAGACACTTTTATGTTAAATTAAGCATATGCAGGAGTAGGGTTTAGATGTAATTATTATTATGTCACTGAGCTAATGGAACATTCCCAAATTTTAGGTCTCCACCTATAATAGTTTTGAAATTACAGCCCATTGAGAGTTTAGTTAATTTTATGCATTTAAAACAAGCCTTTTATAACATTTCTAAAAAGACAAAGAATTAGTGAGAAGAGCTCCAGGATGACCAAAGATGGAAGAATCAGCCCTAAGCTGAGATGAGGACCAGCCCCACCTGTCTGTCGTCTAATAATAGGAGCAATAAAATGAGAACATTTAAATAATATTGTTACATGAATCACAAAAAATAAACAGAAAATACCAAAAAAAACAAACAAACAGAAAAATATCCAAGTGAAAGACTGCGACTACATGTCACTTACCTCTGCAGAAGTACAGTTGTTTAATAGGTGCAGCAGAAATTTTTGCAGACACACAAATAGCCCATGAGTAATTCTACTTTAATTACATTGCCTTGTGTTTATCTGTGCACTTATACTGAAGCAAAGAATCTGACTCAGAGTAGAAACACCCAGAAATGATGTCTCCCTGTGGGGGATTCATGTAAACTGACACTGCTTTGAGTCCATCAGGTGATACTGCAGGAAGAGGAGGAGGAGGAGGAGGAAGGTGTGGTCACTGTGTGCAGGTATGAAGGCAGCCGCTGACATCACCTGCTTCCAACACAGAGTGAAGCTCCTCGAAGCGACGTTCATTCGTGCAAATGGAGCGCTTCCAGCTGTGGGGATTCTTCGGCCTCATCGCTCTCACCGCCGCCCAGAACATCGCATACAGGTAAGGGGACTCACCTGGAGAGTTCGAAGGGCTCATCTCAGGTTTGTTTGCCGCTGATGCTGTCCGCTTATTTATAATGTAAACTTTTTTTTTTTAGGTAGGAAAGCTTCATATAGGATTTTCATATAGGACTGCAAGGTGGGGCAGTTGGTTAGCACTGTTGCCTCACAGCAAGAAGGTCGCCGGTTTGTGTCCCGGTGAGGACACCCGGGATCTTTCTGCGTGGAGTTTGCATGTTCTCTCCGTGCAGCGTGGGTTCTCTCCGGGTTCTCCGGCTTCCTCCCACACAGTCTAAATACATGTTGAGGCTAATTGGTGATTCTAAATTGTCCATAGGTGTGAATGTGAGTGTGCTTGGTTGTCTGTCTCTAAGTGTAGCCCTGTGATAGACTGGCGACCTGTCCAGGGTGTCCCCTGCCTAAGTCAGCTGGGTTAGGCTCCAGCCCCCCATGACCCTAGTGAGGATTTAGCGGTGTATAGATCATGGATGGATGGAGCATTAAGTCCTGCAGTCTGAACGTAGCCAATCTGTCGGATTGTTTAGTCAGATAGTACGTCTTTATCCTGATTTGTGACATAAAATGTCGTGTCGGAGTCAGAATCCCAGGCTGTCCGTATGTTAAGGCTATTTTCTATGGGTTCTGTTCGTTTTTCCTAAAAACCTGTCTGATAGCAAAGTTTTTGGATTGTAAAGGGTCGGATTATAGAGTCACGACTGTACCTCAGTGTTATATAAAAATAGATTTCTCAAAGGAGGCATATCAGAAATAAAAACATCTATAAAATGATTAAAAACATCTATAAAAGGATAAGAATGTCATTGTAAAAAATCACTATAGTAGAAAACTACTGATGAGTTTATTTGTAATAGTTTCTAATCTTTTCATATTGGTCATAATGTATATATATTAATATACTTTGCACATTTTATTTATGAATTCTTTATTTTGTATGTTAAATATTAAAACGCCTATGTACTTTTTTCAACAGTATTGTTGTTACCAGTTAATTTACAGACATCACTTTTAATGCTATGTAAATGGCTTTATTTCAACACAAACTCAGAACGAGGCAGTTTTAGAAGAATCTGCTTGCACTGAAGGTCTGAGTGTTTCTTTCTCTCCAGTGTGTCTGACCCCTTGTTCCTCATCCTGGTTTGTGTTTTCAGGCCTGATGGTCATCCCTCCTACCTGCTGCTGACTCCCAAGGTCCTCCGATCTGGAGTCCCAACATCAATATCAGTCGGTATCCTGATCAACCAGAAGGTCACTGTATCAGCTCGCATTGTTCAGGGCAGCCAGACTCTGTCTTCAAATTCTACTATGATTGAAAGAGGTACATCATGTGTTTGACCTCAAAAAAACCACTGATTGATCATCTTCTATTTAAAGTATTAACTCTCAATGTCTGTATTTAAAGGTTTGACCAAACTGCTGACTTTGCCACCAGTAAGTATGACACACATCTTTGTTAGAGGAGGATTTTCATTATTTTATCACTTTCCAAAGATAACAATGAACATACAGTCGTCCTCAAATGTATTCATACCCTCCCATTAAAGAAGGAAAAAAACTGCCGTCACTGAAAGTAACAATAAATAAAAATTTAATGAAAATCACAACATTGCTTTTGAATTGTGGTTCAACAGAAGTATTAAAAAATAACTGAAAAACAACAACAAGCATGATGGGACCCGTAAACTAATATTTAGTTGAACAACTCTTTGAGCCAATCACTGCAATCAAGTGTTTTCTGTAACTCTCCATCAGACTTCTGCACCTGTTGACAAGTATTTTGATTTTGGCCCACTGCTCATCAGCAAAGTGCTCTCATTTGTCCGGGACAATTTTGTTTTTTTAAATTATTCTTTTCAACCACAATTCAAAAGCAGTGTCTTATTTCACTAAATAATAATTTAGCAAATTTTTATTTATTATTACTTTTTTCAGTTTCTAGTTATTTGAGTGACTGTTGTGAATTTTGCCTTTTCCTTAAAGGAAGAGTAGGAATAAATATGAGGACGACTGTATCCTATCTCTTTCCTCAGTGCCACAGAGCTCCACTGTTGTCCAAAAACTGACATTTTCCTTCATCAGCAAACATCTTCACTTCCATTTTTCACTTCCAGTCTTTAAACCATGATTTAAAGCGTTTCTAACATAACATTCTTCAATTTTAAATTTTGTCCCACATTTAATTTAAAAAGTTGGATCTGAAAATGATATAAGGAACACTCGGATAATACAGTGGAACTTCTCTGTAAATGAACATTGTGCTTGCAATAAAAAAAAACACTATTTTCTGTTTTTGATGGTATACCTACAGTAAAAGACAAGACATGTTTCTTTATTTACTGGCATGTCTATTGCAAAAAAGTAGGGCATTTTCTGTTGTTTAGTGGTATACTAACATTATAAAAATGCACAAAAAATACATAAAATACCAAAAAATTATTTCTGGCAGCTTCTCATTCTAGTACTCAATTTTTCTCAATTTTGTGTTAATTTATGGTTTACTTGCAGTTAATAAGCGACAATTTTGTCGATAGCATACACACAGCAATATGTGTAATGTATGTGCATAATATTAACTCTTTAAGTCTAACAGTTTTTTATTTTAAAATAGCTTACAGATCTTTCACATTTCCCTAAAAATGCTGAACAAAAATTGTGTTTTTAAAAAAAATATTTTTTATTTTTAAATTTTTTTAAATAACACAACAATGTATCAATAACATTTTTTGTTTTCTGGTAAATTCCCATTGTATAAAGACATTTTTACAATGTGTGTGTGTGTGTGTATTGTTGGTTAAATCCTCAGTGGTGAGGCGTTGCTTGCTAAATGAAACCAGAGCAAACACCAGTTGTCTGTTTTCAAAGCATGGCAGGGGGGAGGAGTGTAAACTGATACTGCTGAGCACCAGCAGATATGACTGGGTAAAATTCAGACAGATGTGGAGCAGATTCACAGTTAAATCCTCTCAGCGCACTGTGGTTTACTTTACAGACACCTGAGAAGCCTTAAACAGATCCTTTGTACCTCAGGTTTACATTGTTGAGAGAAGAGTCATTGAGTTTATTTATCTTTTGCAGACTTTTAGTGCTACAGAAGTTTGTCGTTGAAATGTTAATTAAAATTCCTCACCGGTCTCCATGTTCTGCCCTGTAGATCTATGTGAGCGAGTTCAGTGACAATCGCGTCTACAGGCTGGAGGTCCAAGGTCACGTCGGCAATGTCCACCTTTTCTCAAACTCCACGCAGCTGAAGCTCGACCTGAAGGGCTTCTCCATCTTGATTCAAACAGACAAAGTGAACTACCTGCCCGGGCAGGTGGTGAAGATCAGAGTGGTGTCCATTAACAGTGACGGCAGGCCGCACAACAACACCGTGGATCTAGCCATCAAAGTGAGTCTGACCTCACTATTCATACACTGCATATGTACATGTGACAACATTAAACTTTCAAAACACACCATTCAGAAATGCTGCCTCCTTGTATTCAGTTTGACAATGATCAAAAATGATCAATATGGGTCAAAATTCAAGAAGGTGTCGTGAAACCTTTCAGGCAACTTGCTTCACATACATTTTGCTAAACAGTGCAGTCCATACATTTCATCATTCATGCCAGGCCACAATTATAATGTATCAACCATGTTTTTATGAAATGGCATTTTATTATTTTATTGTCTTCTCACAAATTAATTTTAAGCTTTTTTCCAATTCCAATCCAACATTTACGTTGCATTTTATTTCATAGTCTCTGCTTTGATTTGGCTGAAGATGAGAGCGTGATGAGTGAAGACAACAAATAAAAATAAATTCTTACAGAAATAGAAAGTATTTATCAGTGCAGTGTTTCAGTTGTATAAATGATCTAAAATGGCATCATTACAAAAAACAATTATTATTCTATTTCTAGCAGTTGTTTTCCACTTATACATATATATTTTCTTTTTGGTTTTCCAAATAAATGAATGAAGAAACCTGTTGATTTAGGGCTGTAAAAGTGAAGTGCAGCGTTGAACTTTTTAGACCCTAATTTTCCATAGAATATTAATAAATAGCCAAGGAATTCTAGTTGCAAGCCCAGAAATGCTAGGAACTCCACTAGATGTGGTAGTAACTTGTGCAGGAATGCTAATAACGCCACTAGAGATGCTAATGGCTAGCCTAGGCATGGTAGCTAGCCTAGGAATACGAGTTACTCCGCCAAAGATGCTATTGCTAGCCTAGGCATGGTAGTACCTTGCCTCGGGAATGATGATGACGAAAGTCTTGGCATGCCAGTAACTATTCTGGGGAATGCTTGTAAGTAGCACTAAAATGCTAATGACTGTAGCCTTAGGATGCTTGTAACTATTCTGGGAAATGCTTGTAACTAGCCCTAAGAGGCTAATGACTGGCTAGGGGTGTTTTTAACTAGCCTAAAGATGCTAGTGATGAGCCTGGATCTTGGAATACTGGTGATATTAGCAAAGTCAGTTATGAGTCCAGTTGGTTGTGAAAAGATGAAGTCTCATGTGTTCTTTCTCCAAAACAAAATCAGTGGTTTGCTCTCAAAAAGGAAAAAATAACAAAGACATTTGTTGCAAATTTCCACAGAACTAAGCACATAATTAAAAATACTTTTTTTGTGGTGGAACTACTCCTTGAAGGGTGAATTAAGTGCTGTTGCCTTACTCACACTCTAGCTGACACAGCACTCTCAGATCAGCTTACATTTGTTTCTCCGTCCATGTTCATGCTGATCCAGAATCCACGGGGATACCTGATCAGGCAGTGGCTGTCTTCAGAAGGGGTCTTTGTCTCCAAAGAGTTCGAGCTGTCTGACAACCCTCCTCTGGGTGCCTGGGTCATCACTGCTACAGTCCAAGTAAGTCTGCTACGACGTACCCAGTCCACCCAGTATATACCTAACGAAGGACTGTTTGAACACACCTCTGATTTTCCTTTATGAAATTGGAGTAAAACTTGGTGGATAAACTATTATTAAAACGATTCAGATATACATGTCTGTGAAGATTCTCAGTCATCCAGGTCATGGACATTCTGATGAAGCCTCTTGGATGAGAGGTGAAACGTCTTCAAGAAACTCAAGCAAGTTCAGTTGCTACGATTAAACTACGAGAAGATTCAGATACATTCAGTTGAAACCAGAAGTTTCCATACACTGTATAAAAAGGCATAAAACTTTTATTTTTTTTCTCACTGTCTGACATTAAATCAGATTAAACTTTTCCTGTTTTAGGACAGTTAGGATTTAAAGCATTTTGTACTACTTTCTTCAAAGTCAGAAGTTTACATACACTAAGATTACTATGCCTTCAAACTGTTTGGGAAAGCCCAGATGATGACGTCATGGCTTTCGATGGTTCATTGACAACATTTAAGTTAATTGGAGGCACACCTCAAACACACTGCTTCCTTTTGTGACAACATGAGAAAATCTAAAGAAATCAGCCAAGATATCAGGAAAAGAATTGTGGAGCTCCACAAGTCTGGTTCATCCTTGGGTGTAATTTCCAGATGCCTGAAGGTTCCACGTTCATCTGTTCAAACAATTATTTATTACAGTGAAACGAGTCCTGTACCGACATGGGCTTACATACACACTTCTGTTCTTGCCACTTTGCCAAAATGTTTGGCCTTGTTTTCTCCTCCTGAGAAATGGTTTAGAGACGCTCTTCTCCTCTGAAGCCAGACAGCCTATCTTCTATCTCTCAGTGAACACAGGGTGATATATTGATCTTTGTGCTCGTTTTTGGTCTTTGAATACAACTGATCCAGTTTCCACAAAGCCTTTTTCGAGCTCCATGTGTAGCCTACTTTGAAATCTCCACTCCAGCTATGCCCAGAATAATAACAAGAATAATCATAATAACAATCTGATACTTTCAGTTCAGTACTGATATTGTGTTTCTCACTATCGTGATGCTAGTTAAAGAGCTGCTGGAAACAGGTTGATTTAGTTGAATAAATGATCTGATAAGTGTTCTAATAAAGCTGAGTATCATCTAGACACTACTTCAATGGAAACATGAAACTCAAGAAAAACTCATCTTTGTTCAAAGTCGTTAACAAGGCTGACCTAGAAACAGAGCACAATCGCTTTTCTTGTTTTCTTATTTTCTTATTTTTCCCAAAAAAAATCTAGCAGACTTTAGCCTTCCAATGTATATAAATGTAATTTCTTGGCAACTAGTGTGCTTTTTAGGAGTTTCTACTGACTCAACCATTTGGAAACTACTCTTAGCCCCAGGATGTTTTATAAAAGACTTATACCTCAAATTGCAGCTCGAGATATTACTCACAGCTCCAGAAGTTGCAATGAAAACGAGCTGACTGCTGTTTTTCGGTGTATTGTAGTCATTTCTACATTCCAAATCAAACCTTTACTGTTCTCTCAGACCTAAGGTGAGCTACTGTGTGCATGCAGCACCTGTAGCTCTTGTTTCTTGCATTGTTTGTTACGTATGTGGTTGTGTGTTACAGCACCATTCAATTGTGTTGATGTTTTCTAATGTTGTAGTACTGTGTGATATGTTTGGGATGAAACTTTTTCTTGTCTCTGCTGTACAGGGCATCTCCAGTAAGAAGACTTTCCATGTGGCTCATTACGGTACGTACATTTTCTTTGACTCATGTTGCATGTCAAACATCTTCCTTATTCTACAGTAAAAACACAACTTCTTTCATTGTATGTGTGTGTGTGACTGCAGTGCTGCCAAAGTTTGAGGTCATGATCACAACGTCGGATGTGATTTATCGCAAGGATCCTGTGGAGGGATTCGTCACCGCAAAGTGAGACCTTTGTTATATCCAGGCTGCGTACTGATGATCTTGTTTGTGAATGAACTTGAGAATTATTGAGGACGATTGTGTTTTCATCCTCAGGTATCTGTACGGCAAACCTGTGCAGGGATACATGAATATAACGTTAACTAATCATGGTCATGGCTTGAACCAGGCTTACCACGAATACAGAGAGGTCTGTAGCTCTGTTCAAAGCTGTGATGTGGAAGCAGACTGAAATCCAGATTAGAACACCATATTTATACTGTCAAGTCACCTGCGTTTGTTTTTATTAAATGCTTTATTAAATGCTTGCTCATGTTTAGGATATAACAATTTGCCTGTTTTTTAATCAATACAAATAAGAGAACTTCTCAGCAAGCTAATTATTCAACTAACAGGTGAACTAATTATGAAAAATATCCTTGAAGACTGAAGGTTTATTTTCATTTAGATTGACGGGACTGAAGACTTTGCGTTCGATGTTTCGATCGGCAGTCTATTGTACAAAGGACCTTTCACAAGGGAACTCTACCAACCGATCTATTTGGAGTATGTAATTATTGTGGTTCATGTGACGGAACACCTAACAGGTAATTATTCCTGTATTTTATGGATAAATGCAAACCGAGTCCGTGACAGCACTGCTATTTTGTCTTTGGTTGTAGATTCATTTACATTTTGTATGTCAATTTCTTACAGTTGATTGCCCAAACTTTTAAGCTTCAGTGTATTCATATTTATTACATTAAACTCTGCAAATATATAAATACAGGATTCATTAGCCAGAATTTTATTTCTGGGAAGCTCGGAAGCAACACTTAAGACCTGTTAAAGCCAAAAATCAAGTGTAGAAATTGAATTAGATATTGCTTCTGTTGTATGTTCTTGGCTGTTACTGCAGCACTGCAATAATTCATCCATTATGTGACTACTTGTCATCTACTAAACGAACACCCAACTATTTTGTTTAATCAATAAACTGGATTTTTTAAAGGAAAAAACGTCAAAATTCTCTAATTCCAGCTTCTCAACTTTGAATGTTTTCTACTTTCATTCCTCCTCTATGACAGTACACTTGAGTATTTTTGGGTTGTGGATAAAACAAGACATTTAAGGATGTTTGAGCTTTAAAAAACACTGAGAATTTTTATGCATTTTGAAGACCAAATAACTACTCAAAAAGAGAAAACAATGAACAATTATAGTAATCTTTGCCTGCAGCACCACTGTGAATACTCCTCATCTTTCAGGTCTCACATATAACAGTTCGGTGATGGTGTCAGTGGCAAAGAGCAGATATAGACTTTCCTTTGAAGAGTATCCCACAGTACTAAGGCCAAATTTACATTTCAATGCCAAGGTAAGAAAAGCAACATTAAAAATAAATAAATAAATAAATAAAGATATATATGTTTTTTGTTGTTGATGTTTTTTTTTTATTGTTAAAAATGCATTTCTTTATTCTATGTAAAGTGTGTTTTTGAGACTATGGTTGCAATTTGCTGTTCACAAGGCCCCAGTAATGTATATAAAATAATATTTGCCGTACATATTATCGTACATATTATAGTTAAACTCAGCTCTTTATGAAAAGATATTTTGTACAATTTGAAAAGCATATTGTTAATGGTTTTCTTGATTTTGTAGCTGAAAATATCTACATACAACGGCAAGCCGCTGTCACTCAAGGATCAGCAAAACACTGTTCAAGTGTCAGTGGCGCAGCACAGCCGAATACCGCCGCCTTGGCATGAATACCCGTTCACAGGATTCCTGCATGAAGCATTAACCACTCCAGAGCCAGAAATGGATTCAGTGGAAACGGTGTTTAAAAAAATGGAGCTTCCTATTCCTGCAGACGGAGTCATACCGCTTCACATTGAGATCTTTAATGACACAGAAGTACTGAGTATCGATGTAAGTCACAAACTACATATAAAGGAGACTTTAAAGTGGAATTTTAAAGTGTTTTTGAATGTTTACTAGAAAGAACTTTTTGGAGTGGTACTAATAATGGGAAATTAGGAGACAGCAACTGGTACACCTCCAAATAACAAAAAAGAGTAAATTGTTGTTACAACTGCGAGAGTCTTTCAGCTGCTGTGCAACTAAAAATGTGAAATTTGTTTTCCAGGTAAACATAAAATTCAACATACATTTGTAAATGATTAATCAACAAATATTTTCTTGGATTCAAATTGAACTCATCTTCCATTGACATTAGCTTGTGTTTTATTCTTATGAAGTTACATAGTTCCATAAACCTTCCAAATGATGGGTATACAGCATTCAAACATCAGTTTCCCTTATTGATTTGACGATACCAAGTCTATATCTTTTTGCCTTTGGTAGAAATGGCAAAATTCATTTACATGGGCTGTAATGCTTCATAAATATTTCAACCATTGAATTACTAATTTTAACAAAGAGCCCTTAGATGTAAAGTGGTGTATCATCTGCATAGAGGGGGAACAAAAATCCATGTTTACAGATTCTGGGAGCCAATCAGAAGCTGATTAAAATGTTTCATTATGGTTTAGAATCATCTTTATAAAACCTCATACATTTTCCATCCCTTTTTAATAACAGACTAATAATAAACCAAACCAATGGAAATACGAAGGGTGTTAAGATTACGCAAACATTCATGTTGCACAAAAGCAAACAGAAAAGATTTTTAAGCCAGCTCCAGATGCGAAAGATATTTTGCAACATTATTCAGGACCAGGAGAGACAAACTACTGAGAATTTATATGACTTTAATATACTGTTTGTTTTCAGGCTTCTTATGAGGACAGCGAAAACAGTTTAGTGATCTACAGAAAGTACACATCCCCCAGTCAAACCTACCTGCAGATTCAGAAACCCTCCGGACCTGCACAGGTAAAGCTAAGGATTTAAACTAGACTGCAGGACTTTTACATGTACATGAATGTCTGTTATACCCAAACCAAACAAGTTCACGCACTGCTCTGATTAGGGGTATGAGCTGCAGGTTGATGCCTCTATTTCACAGTTTTCTCGAGCTGAGGAGGGGAGCAACGTAGACAGAGTAGACTATGGCAAATAGCAGCATAGTGGAGCCTGTGGTTGAAAAATCATTGACATATGAAGAGTTCATTTGCAAAAACAGATAACTCCCATTTTTGTAGGTTTTCAAAAAACGTATTTTTTTGTTGTTTGCTTGATATAATATCAATCAAACTGAAGCTGAGTGGATTTGACTCAGTAGAAATGACATGACAAAAAGATAACTTAAGTTTGATCGATATTGTCTCAGGTAGATGATGGAAAAGTGGGTTTTCTGAAGGTTTGGGAAGATGGAGTTATCTGTTTACAAATGAGCTCTTCGTACATAAATCTGGATGAACGCTCCGTGATGTCACTCACAACTTGTCGAAACAACATTTGAAGCTGAGTGTGGATTCTCCAGTCATCGCCTGACTCCCCCTAACTCCTGACTCAAAGCAACCACGCCTTTAATTGTGCATAAGTTGAAGTCTTAATAGAAATTAAATTGGTGAGCTATATGAAACGTCTGTCATGCTCCAGATAAAACAGAAACTTGCTGTTTCGAGGCAGAATTCCAATCTACAGACAAACCTGATGTACCTAAATTATAACACCTTAGTCACATGATGCAGTTTACTGTGTCCTCTTGTCAGATGTTTTCATTCTTGTATCTTCTTGTACGTTTCTGAAGTTACTCTTCAATAAGGAGGAACATTTTATTGAAGAAGAAAATACTTTTCAGTGCACACACACATGCAACTACTTACATTTCCCTCTCTTCAGGTTGGTTCACCCCTCCTGCTGCCCATTGAGACGAATTTTCCACTAATGATTGATTTGTACTACGTGGTAAGAAGCGTATTATGAAACCCAAAGGATGAAACTATATTTACAATTACATTATTCAGTTCAATTCATTTAAAGATTTAAAGATCCAGAGACTTACAGTAACTAAGTAATAAATAAGGTTGTATCATACATATACTCATCTATTAAAGCAATAACTTTAAATAAGGCCTTACATGTATGGTATGTCCTGTGTGAAGGTGAAGTCCAGAGGTCAGGTGGTTTCTGCTGGGAAAGGCTTTGGTGATCTGACTCTGATCCCAGAAGCCTCCTGGGCTCCTGTGGCCTGCATCATCGTCTACTGTGTGCATCCCGACGGAGAGATTGCCAGTGATGTGATCAGGCTGCCCATCAAACCAGTTCTACAAAATAAGGTGATTCATTATTTCTGTTGTTTTAAGTGTTTTTTAAAGGTTTTTTTTCTATTGACAAAAAGACCAAAATAGCATATTTGGTTGACCTGGCATCGTGATTCTGAGTATTGTGAGTGGGATGTTATCACAGTGGAACGCAGAAATAAAGAACAAACATAGAACTCACTAAGATATTGTGGGACAGCGTCGTCTGAGGGTCCTGGAGAAAAAACACTGTTTATTCTTTACGTGCAGTTCATGAGCCAACTGTCACTGCAGACACCCTCCTGAAGTCTTCAGAGCTTATTAACATCCATCCATCCATCCATTTTCTATACACCACTTAATCCTCATTAGGGTCGCGGGGGGGGGCTGGAGCCTATCCCAGCCAACTTAGGGCGAAGGCAGGGGACACCCTGGACAGGTCGCCAGTCCATCGCAGGGCCACACTTAGAGACAGACAACCAAGCACACTCACAGTCACACCAACGGACAATTTAGAATCACCAATTAACCTCAACATGTTTTTGGACTGTGTGTGGGAGGAAGCTGGAGAACCCGGAGAGAACCCACGCTGCACAGGGAGAACATGCAAACTCCACGCAGAAGATCCCGGTGCCCCTACCGGGACGCAAACCAACTGCGCTAACCAACTGCGCCACCTTGCAGCCCAGCTTATTAACAGGTTATGAAATTCCAAAATGACCACCAGCATAATTGTTAGACGGCCTAAATATAGTGACTGAGAGAACAACAACTCAGTGTTTCTAAAGCTTCAAGTCAGCATCCAGCAGCTGCACTTTAAGGTTTTTGTGAATTGGCTTCAGTCTGAACCATTGTAGTTCTCACTTGTATATGTGACAGATCGGCCTGTGATTGGCAGGTATCTCTGAAATGGAGTGACGCTGTGACGAGGCCAGCTGGGAATGTGACCCTGAAAGTCACGGTGGCAGAGCCTGACTCGCTGGTTGGGATCCTGGTGGTCGACAAGGCGACGCGTGTGGAGGGATCCCACAATGACATCACCACGGAGCAGGTGAGAATCACTGCTTGGTCACAATGCAGTTTTTATACTGTCTGTGGTGAAATGACCGCACAGTGTAACATCATAGCTCAGTGTTAAGGTTATCTGTGTCAACAAAAAAGATTTACCGGAATTTCCGAACTATAAGCCGCTACTTTTTTCACGCTCTTTGAACACTGCAGCTTAAACAATGATGCGGCTACGTTATGGGTTTTTACGAATTTGACATTGAGAGCGACAACGAAAGAGAGACTGAGGAAGTGATGAAGTAATTCTGAGGCTGGTCAATTCCGACACTAAAGAAGACGACTTTAGTGGTTTTAGTGCGCAAGAGGAAGATGAAGATAGCGATCAATGACTTTTCCTAGTAGGCTGCTGTATTTTTTTTTTAACCAGCCGTGTTACAGGCACTGTTTGGACAAAAGCATTTACTGTACGTATTTGTGTATGTTACCGGTACGTATTTGATTAAAAGTTGTTAACTTGTCAACTGTGTTAACTTTTGAATTAACTTCACTTATTGATCAGTTTGCTGTGACTTTCGTCTGACCCTCAGTTACAGAGATAAATGTAGGAGCCTTGGAGCACCTGTTTCCCGTTGTTGCTCATATAACACGCAGTGTCCTTTACAACAGTGAATACCAGAAGCTTCCGCAACTCCCCAGAGTCCTCTCCAGTTTGATATTTTCCAACAGTAACAGTTTCCCAGCTATATGTTTACTGCCCTTATGTCCATACATTTCCCGGGATATCATCCCCTGCAGGTACACATGTGAAACTCAATCGGCCTCCCCACCCCAGAATCAGTTCAGCGTGTACTGAAGCACTACGAACGGCTCAGTCAGACAGGTTTTAAACAATAAGTGTTTCGTTTTGTGTCCCTGTCTGTTTTGTGAGCTGTAACAGTAGCAGCTCTGAGATCGCTGGTGTTACTTTCACAGGTGCTGAAGGAGATGAAGGAGTTTGACGATTCATACGCTGACATATGGGGAATTGGAGATCCATACTCAGTCTTCAAGGTCAGTCTCCCCAGAGACATTTCTGTGATTAAAGTATCAACTTTCCATATATTCCAGGAAGGGCAACATCCATTAGAGCTCAGACTTCTTCCCTTACTTTGTTACTGCTCTTGATTGTATCTACCTGTCATTAGTTATCTCTATGTTTTCGACCATACATTATCACTGCAGGTACACCAAAACATATGTTATGATTTGTAGACACTATTAACTCTTTCAACTCTCAGATTTTAGAAAATTTTCAAGAACATCGTTGCCACTGATTCAGTGTTATACGGCTGTCATTTATAGTTTTGATTAGAAGTACAAATCAGAACTCACTGTGGCCCGATGATAGGAACACAGAGGCTTGATGTATTTTACATTGTTGTCGCAGTTCCATAGAGTCCAAGGCTGTTCAGTTTGGCCTTACAGTTGTGGAGCTGTTATCGACTAATCTGGTGTTTGTTTTTTTATGTAGAAATGTTATAAACAGCACTGGACTTAAAGGGATAAGTGAGTAAGATTTTAAAATATTGTCCAACCTAAACATCAAAATATGTTGTTTGTAATTTCCCCCGAGAACAGCACAAGATGAAATAATTTGTCTGCTCCTTCCAACATCCAATAATAATCACCTCGCCAAAAATACAGCTGTTTTCTGAACTGACACCGCTGTGGTTAAGGTTTAGGCACTCAAATTGCTCAGTTAAGGTTGAGGGACGAGTATGCATGGACAAAAGAAACTTCTGTTGTCTGATGGTAGAAAATGTTAATTAAACAGTGACCTTTGCTGACATTTTGTCCATCCATCTATTCCAACCTCCATCCTCTGTGGATTTTTTGACTTTATAGCAACATCACCTGATAATAATAACCATAATTGTTACTGCCTTTTTGGCATTTGCAGAACCAGTTGCTGCTGCTCTTGTTTTTCTTTGGACACAGCTTCTAAGTTACTTGCAAAGCATTTTGCCAGACTGTTTATAAATATTTGATTTTATTTAAAGTGTTGATAGACACTTGTTAAATCAATCCAGAAGTATTTAACATGTCTGAGGAGCAAGTCAGTGTAAACTTGCAACCAAGGATTCAATTACTGGTTTCATTACCTGTGGCTTAGTCATGTTTACCAGTCAACAAAATTCCACAAGCTGAGAACCCACTTTAGAAACATTTGAAAATATTTGATGCAGATTAAGACATCGCAGACAAGACGCGGTCTATCAGAGCAGAAACCAGAGGTTAAACTCCACAATAAACCTGCTTTTTGTCAATTCCGCAGCCAAGCTGTTCCTTAATGTTACGCAGGTCGACACAAACCTTGTAAATTTCTGGCAGGGCACTATCTGAAATGTAGTGCCAAGAGGATCTGGGGTACTGTGACCCCAAAAGATGGCAAAAGCCATGCATTTCAGAACATCTTTCTCTCTCTCTCTCTCTCTCTCTCTCTCTCTATATATATATATATATACACACACACACACACACACACACACACATAAATAAATAATTAATGTCTGAATTTCCCCAATGGGGATCAACAAAGAATTATCTTATCTCATCTTATACTGCAGATTAGCTGTAGTACCTAGTTGTTACACTGGGGGGCACGTCTTACTGTTTCAAACTGTAGCAACTACAACAGGTGGTCCCTTGGATTACGGGCAGTTCTGTGTTTGTAAGCAGAGAGGGAGTTTGTGTTTAGCTAGCAATGGACACCATGTCCGAGATGTTTGCGATGCCTAATGTTCTCTGGCCAGAGCTAGTATGTTTTATGCAAAGTGCCCTGCCACTACTAGTGCTCGCCCTTTCTAACACCTGTGTGACAGCTGATGAAAACCAAAGAACTGGGCTTAGATTGGTGACGATACCAATCATTTAAAAAAATGCAACGATCAGCCCTGATCCTGATCCATGACATCAGCGTGGCAGTGAAAAAGTGTAGTGAAATGTGTTTCTTGTGCAGGGATGCGGTCTTGTGGCGTTGACTGATGCCACTTTGCACCAACATAAATGGAGGCCTGTGTTCCGTAAGTGTTCAACAATGCTAGCCTTCTTTCACTGTCACTTAATTACTCTGAGTATTACCACTATGCATGACACACATTTTTCTTCTGAGCAGCAGTGTACACACTATATGCACCCATGACTCCCAATTCAGAAGTGGAGCAACACAAGGAGGAACAACCGGAGCCACATGAGCGCCAGAACTTTCCAGAGACCTGGATCTGGATGGATATCAACACAGGGTGAAGCAATGCAAAAAACTATATATCAGCCTGTTGGCGTTTCCTTGTAGTAGAAAAAGAATGACATTCAGAAATTCAACCTGCAGCATTATACTGTATCTATGTCATTATTGGTGATTTACATAGATGCCAGAGTGGTACGTCTGTCTCAGTAATAACAGCAGATAAACTATAATATCATCCACAGATTTCTGAAAGGAAACTCCAGCTGATATCTACTACAGCCAACGAATCTATGTTTTGTCAAAAAGAGAGAAACCTGGGTTGTATGAAGTTGAATAATTTAGCAAAGAAGGACAGCGGTCAGATTCACTTTAATTCACTCAAATGCACCCGTACCCCTCCCTTTTTAAATCTGTTTGTAAAAGCAAACATAACTTAACTTTAAAAATTGTAATTAAGTTTCACATTAGTGAAGTACACCATGGTTAACTTAAATTTCAAGACAGACACTTGGACTTTCCTACTTCATTCGAAATGGTACCAGTTTTATACAGTCAGCAGCTAGTCAGGTACATAACTTATGAGCAAATATGATAGAGCAACAACAACAAAAAAAGCACTGGTGTGTTACCTAATTATCTATAAACTGCAAACTCACAGTGTACGCCGATGATACCACTATTTATTCTACTACTTCTACAACTCTGAGGTTTCAGTTCTGTTCAAATGAAAGTATCTTCGTTCTAATTTATTTAACACTGGTTTATGTTGTCATTTCCTAAAGGGGCACTGTATGTGCAGTATATTGACAATTTTTGTTGCATTATGTGAAAGATTGAGTGTTTTGGTTGCAAACGACAGCATGTATAAAATTAAAAACTCGATTATAAACAGCACTGATTGTTCACACCAGAACGATACCAAAAAGAGCGTGATGCTGGATAAAGTCACTTTAGTCAGGTCTTAATTTAAATTTTGTTTTTGCAACATATTCTCTTTGAGTAGAGGGCAGATTGCATAACAGGATAAGGAAACAGAGAAATAGTTTTCTGCCTAGATAGAGCATGTCGGCAGTGATAGGTTTTCATTTTCAAACTGCTTTTTATAAGTAAAATAATATCTGTTTAACTGACCATTTTATCGCAATTTCAGACGCAATCTGCATCCTTACTAACGCATATCACATGACCGTTCACATACACTGGACTTGTGCCTGCAGGTGTAAACAGGACGCGAAGGATTATTTGCCAACTTGTCAAGAAATCACTTAAATAACAGCTTACCTCCTGTGCATGCAGGCAGTAGTTGCATGATAAAATCCATCCATCCATTATCTATACACCGCTTAATCCTCACTAGGGTCATGGGGGGCTGGAGTCTATCCCAGCTGACTCAGGGTGAAGGCAGGGGACACCCTGGACAGGCCACCAGTCTATCACAGGGCTACACTTAGAGACAGACAACCAAGCACACTCACATTCACACCTACGGACAATTTAGAATCACCAATTAACCTCAACATGTTTTTGGACTGTGTGGGAGGAAGCCGGAGAACCCGGAGAGAACCCACACTGCACGGGGAGAACATGCAAACTCCATGCAGAAAGATCCCCGTGCCCCCACCGGGACGCAAACCGGCGACCTTCTTGCTGCGAGGCAACGATGCTGACCACCGAGCCACCTTGCAGCCCTGCATGATAAAATGCAGAATTTAACTGCACGACCGCTGCTTGCATAGACTACAAAATCTGCAATGCCTGGAATTCATTTTCCATGTTGAATTAAGCACTTGTAGTCTGATGCTTTTGTTGTTTGCTGGAAATGGGTGTGACGAACAGAGAAGGATGCATGGTGGCAGTTCAAACTCAATTAGAAAGCGGACGTAGGAGCCGGCGTTATTTTTTTAATCAAAAGTAACTCAACAAAACTGTAAGCAGCTGCGTTTACAGACTCTATTTTAGGGGTCCTAAAGTGCCAGAGTAGTGTGGATGCCATTCTTAAACGTAGACTTCCAAAGGGGCAACATGTTGTTCCTACAGAGGCATCAGCTCAGGCAGTAAAGACTTGTGAGTACAAAGTAAAAACTTAACCTCCCTTGTCCCAGCTTTGAATAGTGAAACAAATTTGCGTTGGCACCAAACGACTTACTCACCAAACAGTGGCAAGAAGGAACAAGGAAAAAGTTGTTATATTCATCAAACAAGCTTCACAAATGAGCACAACAAAGGGAATCCGCCGCACTCATCCCACTAAAAGTGCATCATTCTGTCTGCCATCATCTACTGCTCCACCTCATAACTAAACATTACAATAGTCTTGTTGTCTAATTTGATATTCTCCAACTTATTTTGGCAAATGTGTAACAAAAAGCCTCGTTAATAAATTACAAAACACACTTCCAGAAGCCAACTTAGACAATCTTAAATAAAACACAAAACAAAGTGGTACCGGGGGGGGACGGAGCCTCCAGACAACCAGGATGAGACGGGCCTTATAAAGCCTGGCGACTGCGGCCAACTGAGTCTAGCTCTTTGATGGCGTCCAGCTCAAACCGAACTCAGACAACCTGCAACAACAAAAGGCATCGTGCACTCCACACAGCAACAATCTAAACCGAAAAATATGCTGTTTGCAACAAAGCTCATGACACAGTTGATTATTTGCAGGGAGTAATGTATCAGAATCCCACCACTTTAGTGCCAACACACAAAATATGTTTTCATTTCAGGTAAGTTGCTGTTATGTCCTGGTTTTCCTCAATGGTTTGTTTTAGTAGACACATGTTTTTTTTGTTTTGTTTTGTTTGATTTTTTTGTGCAGCGATTCAGACACAAAGGAAATACCACTGATTGCACCAGACAGCATCACAAGCTGGACCGCCACTGCTTTTGTCCTGTCTGAGAGACTGGGTTTGGGTGTTGTGGAACAGCCAGCCATGGTATTTACATCACTTCAGGGCTTCTCTCCTAACTTCTGTCTGTTCTCTTTCATTTCTGTAGTCTATGTTTGCTTAGTCTTTAATTTAAAGCTCTTTTCACCGTCTGATTTCACTGCTGCTATGTGCAGTAACATCAATCCCAGTAGGGCTGTTTGTTGCACTCATGTTAGGATTGCTTTCAGTCCTGAGTTGTAGCATCACATGTGACACAGTTTTCCGTGCGACCTTCTTGCAGCTCACGGTGTTCCAGGATTTCTTCCTGACCTTGAATCTCCCGGCCTGCATCATCCGAGGAGAGGAGCTGGTGCTGGAGGTCATTCTGTACAACTACCTCCCACAGCAGCTGGAGGTCAGTGTGCTTCACCTCACACGTGTTAGAAGGGCTGGATTTTAATTAAGGATAAACAAATGATTATTTTTTTAGATGATGGTTGTGGTATTGGGATGCAGTCCCAGCCTGGACCAATCAGGATGCAGTCTGTCTCTTTGTTTTATCCTTTAAAGGTGAAGGCCTTGGTTCCTCCACCTGCAGTCGATCATGTAGTGTTTAAAACCTCTGTGAGAACTTCAAATATTTCTTTAGTTTTTAGCACTAAATAAGCAAGGAATTCACATTTCCTACTCAAATCTCAGACAGTCTTCTTTCCAATGAATGAATGGGTGGTGATTTGATCATTTTTTGCTCACTCCAATTCAACTGCTGCTAAATCCTGATTATTGCACCGCAGACTGTGACATACTAACAGTCGTTCGTAGTAAGAAACTCATCAAGTTTTCCAGCATTTAAAGGGATATTTCACTTAAACTCTGATTATTTTTAACATCAATAAAGGATTCACTGGAAATTCTATTTAAAAAATCGACTTGTGAAGCATGATGAAGGTGTATGCAATCTGTGCTTTTTCATTAAGTCTTTATTTATTTCCAAATTTTATAATAAAAGCCATTTAACAATGCAATAGATAAATGAATTCAATTCTGTATTATAGAAATAGTACTATCACTATCTACAAAAGAAGCGTTCTGTTGTGTAAAGCTGCATTTATAACCTGTCCTAATGTCCTGTATCAGTGTTCTCTGAATGTACGTAGCTTTGTTACTGGTAATTTTGCATATCATCTAACATGTTTAATTCCACGGTTACTCCCTTTAACTCCTATGTAGTTCTGAGCTTGTGTCCAGTTCAGAACTGTATCTCTGCATTATAACCAATTATAATGGAGTTCTATGTCTTGGGAATTAAATACACAAACACTTACCTTGCAGAACGTGCTCGAGTGCTGCCACTGAAAGACGATGCTCTTCCCTGATGTTATTTCAGTGTTTTAATAATGACAGAGTAGATCACTGTTTACAAGGAAGATAAAAGAGCCAACGGGAGTGTTTGTGTTGGACTTGTCACATTATCTGCTTTGAGTCAAACAGTGTGACGTACTGCGCGTGTTACTGTGTACCAGCAGTAGAACACAGCAAGTGTTTGATTACAGCTGGAATAAATGTAGTTCACAGGATTAGTGGGACAAACATTAAACTTCTTCAACCTTTAAATCCTTTGTCCTCGAAAAAGAGCCCATCAAATGTGTCTCCTTTGTTTCCTGACACACTCTTTGTGTCTCGTTAAACGTGATCTGGGCGGACTCCTTCTGTCTTTGTTGTCAGGTCACTGTGGTTGTTGCACAGAGTGACACCTTCGAGTTCATCTTCCCGGACAGCGAGATGCTCCCCATGCCCAGCGTCCGAGGCGTGTCAGTGGGGAGTGAGAGCGGAGCGACCGTCCTCATTCCCATCCGGCCTCTGGTGACTGGAGAGATCCCCATTTCCGTGAAAGCCATGTCATCTGCAGCGTCCGACTTAGTCCGCACAACTGTGCTCGTCAAGGTGCAGTGAGAAAATCACACAAACACACAAACAATGTAGCTGCAGTGCTGGAGCTCCAAATGGTATACAAACGTTCCTTTGGCAACACTTCACTTTAACCTCCTCATTTGTAATAAATGGTTTATAACACACTGCAATGCACCTAATCACATAGAAGTCTTTATTGTCATTAGTCGACATCCATCGGTGACGGTTTGTGTCTAGACAACAGATGAGTGACACAGACAATAATACAGTAAAACACAGTTGTTATGATAAGAAAATGTGTCTCATAGCAGAATATATAACTGTTGACATAAAATGTACATTGACATTGTGGTAGGAACCATCTAAATGTCTCTATAGTGATTAGAAATACTAAAGATGTTACTAAAAAAAATTGTTCTAGAAAGTTAAGCTGCAGAGAGATTGTGCTTTTTCCTACAAAATACGCTCCTCATTTTCCAGAATCTCTACAGCAAAGTTAGATGGTGCAGAGTTAAGAACACTGACAGAGACGCAATAAAAACATTAATTACAATTTAAATATATATATATATATGTGTGTGTACATGTATCTCTTTTTAACTGTAATTTTTCAAAGAAGTTACTGTTTTACAGATTCTTTCCAGAAATTACAGAAATAGGTGTTTATTTTCACATTTAATTAGAAAAAAACAACAACAAAAAAAATCATTAAAAACAGGCCAAAACTGTTAGTAATGTCTACATTAAAAATTTGCATTTTTGTAAAAAAAAAAAATTAAAAATTAAAAATTGTACGTTTGACCATAAAATCTTTACGATATTGAAATCTTAATTTACATGTTGACTGTTTAAAAAAACAAACACATGAAGACTGTACATAATGTCCACATCTAAAATAAGCTTTTTACAAACGGTAATTTGTCTTCTTACGATGTGTGACTGGAAAATTACACTATTCATGTTACTGTATTTAAATTAACTAAAAATATATTTTACTCATTTCGATAGTTTTCGTGGTTTTTGAGTGTTTCAGTGTTCCACTATTTGTTACATTGTTTTTTTCCTGGCACACTTGCTGCCTGACTTTCACCATTTGTACACATTTTTCAATGTATTTATTTTTTCAAAGTACACGCTGAAATAATCCAGAATGATATTTTATGAGCGAAGACACTCCTCATTAAAGTCAATATTTGTACAATATTTCTATTGGAAATCGTTAGAAGTTTGGTAAATACAGTGTTCATAACTTCTGAATATGTTTCCTATGTTAGCTATATAAGTGGAATAGTCCTGAATCTAGACTGAAAACCATTCATTTAGTTTTTCATTTTAGGTTATTAAATGAAAATAAAGCAGCTGGTAAAGTGACACACGAGAGGTTCAGTGTCATGATCAACAAAACATCATAGACGGCGAGATTCAAACTCGTCAGATCAAGTCAATTATAGCGTCTGTTGCAGCTCCAAAGCAAACAGACCGACAACTCGACTGACCCTCATCTGCTGCTCCACTGGGTTCCAACAAGTCTTGTTCTGGTTTTGCAGCTCTGCCTTTCCCAGAAATATTACTCACCAGGTTTGTTTGTGTCCACTTTTGTCAGGCCGAAGGAATCGAGCAGTTGTTCTCTGAATCACTGCTGTTTGAAATTTTTCCACCTGAATCAAGCCTGGTCAGAAACATCAATTTCACCTTCCCACCAGATACTGTGGAGGACAGTCAGAGGATTACAGTGACGGCCGTCGGTATGTAAACACGCTGAGGAAAGACCTTGAATCACGACTAGCCTGGACACAGATTCAGATCTCCTGAGGTTTCAGGATGATTACTGGTAAACAAAACATTACAGAACGTTCCCTACTATTGAAAAGATCTAATGAATGTGTACTAAACACAACACAAAATCCGTCTCAGTTTTGTTCAGCTACTGGACATTTTTAAAGGTTTATCTGAAATGAACTTCAAAGTAATTCATCTAGTAGCTGTTGAGATTCATTCATTCAACCTTTATTTACCTGATGACGACTCATTGAGGCAACGCCCTCATTTTCAATGATCTTAAAAGTACAATCAATTGTATTAAAATATTCCCCTGTTTAAATATTTTCTTTCATTAATTTTAGGGTGTTTTTTGCCATAATTAAGTAGAAGTCTGTGTAGATGTAAAGTTTGACAATTTTGTATTTTGAGGAGCAAAGAATCATATTTATGAAACTACAGTGGCGATAGGAAAATGAAGCCATTTCTAATTCAGCTTTTTTATTGTGGAAGCTGTCGAACAACACAAGCCTGTGGACACTATGGATTATAATAACAAGAGGCAGCTTCATCCCACATGTTCAATCAGGAAGTTAAAGTGGTACTTTTCCATGTAACAAGGTGCAGGCGGTCAACATGGAGCACACATGTGCAGCACAACATGCAGCGGCAGGCTGAGGTCACCCTTTCCTTTACGTTCAGGTGTTAAACATGGAGGACGTTTATAACTGGTGTTGGCAGGGAGCAGCAGCTGGTTGTGGTTTGCTGTTTGATTGGTGGAAACATGACTACAAGGTTTACTGCTGACATTTCAGACTACCAGATAACAGCAGCTACCTGATGAATACAATAAAAACATAGAAGAAAACTGCAGTTTATAACCAACAGGTTCTCAAATATATATAAAATTAGTGTTTGAGCATTAAAAAATGAGCCGAATGTGAGCATACATCATTAAGACAGTTTCCAGTGAGCATAGATGATTTAAGAAACACGTCACTGGGTGGTTGACTCACATTTGCTAATTGGACTCATTTGAGTGAAGGTCACATAGGATCTCAGCTAAACTGCAGCAGAGAGGGAGTTCAGTTCACCAGATGTTTTCTCATTTCTGCTGACATTTGAAAAAACCTCCAAAACACTATGAGGACTTTTGTAATGACATAAAAATGACCAGTAAAGCATCACAAAAGGTTCATATCAGCCTCCAAAGACTTTGAAGCTTTGTTGAAAATAATCAGCAGCCACATGTCAAAGGTTTTTATTTTTTTATTCTTATTTTTTGTCAGTTTCCACCAAAAAAAAAATGTTATTTTTAAGAAGCTTGTCAGTTTGAGTAGATTTCACACAGTTTAGTGTCCTAATGAATCATGAAGTTGTTTCTCCTGCTGCGAGAAAACGCTGATCAGTTATTAAAACTGTAGAGGAGAATATGAAGATAACAAACAAAAGATGCTTTAGATGGTGCACCAGACTCCCCTGAACAACAGTCAAGTCTCACTGCTGCCTCTAGTTGAAAATAGTTTATATTATTTGTATTATATTTTCATGCTAATGCGCTGATGAAATACCACCATGTTATTCAGGTTAAGAAATGAACCGCTATTATTAGTTATAGAGTCAGAAAGAAGTATGAAGTCAAGTGGAAATAGGACCAAAATAGCTTTTTTTTTTTTTTTTTTAATGTAAGAGGTCACAGTTTGCAGCTGCTGTTAAAATATTCTTTAAGTACAAATAAAGATATATGCGTCCCTGCTGGGTTTGGTCTTTATCCAGGTTTAAAGAGCCCATGTGATTCTTTTTGAGTTTACCTTTAGTGTGTTACACAGATGCATGTTGTGCATGTGAAAAATTACAAAACCGCTTCAAGTTCCAGTTCACAGAGATCCATTCTGTCCCTCAGAAAACTCTGAAATGCCATGTTTGAAGTCCAGGCTTTTTCCCCGTTACTTATCTGCATCATCATGTAACACATTTGCACAACACCGGCCAAGCAGCTAGTTTGGTCTGAAAGCAAAGATGGAACAATCCTTCGATATTTCCTCTGTGGTAAAGTAAATAATGGCGGTGAAGGTTTTTATGAGCAACATAATGAGTTATTTGAACACTGAAGCATGTAAGTCTGGGCTTCTTCACAAATGAAAAATGTCAGTAAGATTTTTTATTTATTTTTCCTAAAAATTGACACATCTCCTGAAAAAAATGAATTTACAACATGAATAGTTTGAAGAGTCATTAATTTACAGAGAAACTATTGCAGGAATAGAAGTAGTCACATCAACAGACTGAACCTTGAAAGCAATACGATGATCAAAAGCTGAGAATCATCAGCAGCAAAACTGAACAAGGTCAAGTCTGAGAAGTTTTCTAAAGACATGCAAGTGAGTTAGTCAAACCTGAAGGCTGAGGTTACCCTCATCATCATTTATCTACTACTGGGACTCAATAACTGAGGTTAAAGTCAACAATTGTGCCTTCAAACCATCAATAATCTGCCCTGACAGTAAATGTTCTCATGTGCAGCTCCTCTACGCAGTGAACATCACTCGTCTCTTTAGGGTTTCTCACGATGTTGATTTGTTTTCTTTCCATCGTGATGAAGGCGACGTCCTCGGCCCGTCCATCAGCGGCCTGGGTTCTCTGATCCGGATGCCTTCCGGCTGCGGGGAACAGAACATGATCAACTTTGCCCCAAACATCTACATCCTTCATTACCTGATGGAGACCAAACAGTCCAACCAGGACACCGTTGACCGCGCCGTGAACTACATGACAAAAGGTCGGCTCAGACATCACGCCACAGTGACACACTCAGACATGATAGTGCGTGACAGTTTGTGCCCCCCCCGTGACGTGCTCAGTGAGTGTACTGTGTGTGTACATGGTAGTATATAACCGTGTGTTCAGCTATCACACAGCGGTGAGCTGTACCATACAGTGTCATCTGTGTGGCAGTTTGTTCAGTGACCTCCTGCTCCTCACCGACTCAAACATCTCCAGGTTGTGACCGATGATAATTACGGCCTTAAATTATTTTTTTCTGTCCATAATTCCACTTTTGACTGATATTAGAAGTGTAATACGTGATCCTACCAAATTCTTGTAACACACTGGTTTAGTTTGATAACATCTCTTGCGCCACTCCGATTTCAGATTTTTTTTCTTTCTTTTCTTTTCATGGTCCTTGTATTGTGACTCCCTCATTCACCCTCTGCTGTCCTTCTCCTCAGGTTATGAACGAGAGTTGTCCTTCCAGAGAGTAAACGGCTCCTTCAGTGCCTTCGGAGACCGTGACTCATCTGGAAGCACCTGGTATGTTAGAAAAGCTTCATCTGTGAACCAGGACTCTTCGGCCCAATCCCAAACCGCCCCCTACACACTAACCCTATGCACTACCCCTCCGTTTGCCATATTAAGGGCTGTCCCAGACAGATTGCTATACGAGTGGACAGACAAACCCTTAAATAGCAAGTCTGCATCGGTGCAGGCTCACGGCGGTTTTGGAAGGAGGTGCGTACGCGTCACAGGCATGAAGGAAACAACGTACAAGTGTGAGAGTTCCATCTTTGTACATTGTCAAGTACTTCAGATGAAACACTCACACCCTTGTCTTCCTCACTGACTTTACATCTCAAACTAAATCACAGAATACGTTAGGTTAAAAGATCACCAGGAAAGGGAGATAACTGATCCGTCCCTGACATTGGTTGACCCACAAATTCCTATATGCATAAATAAATGTCGGATTCACCTCATATCATTCTAGTGGTTTTAGATATTATTTATTATTGGGTCTGTGGACAAAACAAAGCAGCTCATCAGTCTGCGGATGGAAGCAGCGCGTCCGACCGTTGCCATGGTGATGTCTGTGGTGAGGTGGCAAGGGCGTCCCATTGTTTGGCTTCTTTTTTATACCCTTAACCAGGAGTGCCCTTCACAGCTGCAAGTGTAACTGGATTTGGAGTGGAAGTGTGTGGGGGGCGGTTTGGGTTTGGGCCACCTTCTTCTCTTTGGATGAATGTCGAAGTACTGAGCACTTCTATGTCTCTTGTCTTTTTTGTCTTTTTGTCTCGTCACTCGATCAAGTACCTTCCTGTCAGGTTTAATGTGTATTTTGTTATGGTTGCCAAATGCTATCGTTTGTTTTCTGCAAAAAAAAATCTACCCACAGGTATTAATAAAGTAACTTTGAATCTTGGGACATTTCTCAGCTTGTCAGAAACACTGCTGCGTGAAACTCTGTCTGCACAGGCTCTCTGCTTTCGTGCTGAGGTGTTTCCTGCAGGCGCGGCAGTTCATCTTCATCGACCCTCAGGTGCTGGACCGAGTGGCGGCTTGGATCGCAACCCAGCAGGCGGCCGACGGGAGTTTCGAGGAGCCCGGCAGGGTCATTCACACCCAGCTCCAAGGAGGCCTGGATGGGCCTGTGTCCCTCACAGCCTACGTCCTCATTGCTCTGCTAGAAGACAGCGATGTCAGGGTGAGAGCCAATGGACTGAAACCGTAAAACACTTTCTACACAAGTCAGTGCAATTTAGAGTGGTTTGCACACAACTGACAGTCTGATAGAAAGATTGAAGAAGAAAAACGATTTAGAGAGTTCACTGAAATGGAAAAAACTGCTTCACTGCTTCTTATTAAATTTCCCTTCTGGATTGAATTTCCCTTCTGAGATAAATAAAGTATTTTTCATTTCATTTCATTTCACGCAATTGGAGAATCAGCAGCCTCCCGATATACACATAAACATAACTTACCTTCACGATATCACTAAACCTGCTTAGAACAGCTTGGATCACTGTTGTTTCTTATTTTATTATGTCTAGAATTATTCACGCTTGCATCATCTGTAGTTATTGGTTCAGAAGATGCTTTCCTGTGTGTTTCGCTGTGTGTTTATGTTCTATTTTGAGGTTGTGTCAGTGATCCAATTAGGACATAAATAGTTTTATGAAAGAAACACTGGAATAGACAGAAAGCAGAATAGCACTAAAAATCTTTCTAAAAATCTTGTTGATATAATTTATTCATTACTTTAGTAATTATATATCTATTACTATTAGTAATTATTTTTAATGATTTTACATTGCTTTGCTTGTTAAACTCTCCTTTATGTAGCTTATTTAACAGTTATAAAATAGTTGTTATCATTGCGTGCCGACCCTTTTTTAAATTTTTGCCTCGTAAAGCGCTTGTAATTTTGTTTTTTAAAAGTGTTAAACAAATACCGTTTTTATTCTTTATTATTGTCACTATTATTGGATATATATTTTCATGTAGCATGCATGTGTTTCCAGTTAATCAGGAACACCTTGTGACTCCCGAAATTTAACCCTCTGAACCTCAAAACCCCGTCTCTAGGTTTAAAGGGCATGTCAGCTATAAAAAAAAAATTACAACATTTGTCTAATTTTCAACTTTCTGAAGGTCCTTAAGCTACTCACCTGGAACATGCCATTCTGTTGGAGAGCCTCACTCAGTCTAAGCTTAAACATCGAAATCAGTTTATTCTATTTACGTGTTGATTCTGAGTTTTTAATTTAGATTTTTGCAATATAAATATTCAAAGAAATGTAACTTTGTTTTCATGATTTATGGCATTATAACTTTGTCATACTGAACAGAAAACATTTCTGAGTTCTCTGTCCTTATAACAATGGATTTTGCTGTTTCCATAGAAGTGCAGGACTTTATATTGCAGTGAAAGGGTCCATAGTGGCACGCATGGACGCAGCGGCCCCTTCAGGAGACAGCAAGAGTGAAAGTTTAGTGTCTTTTAGTGTCTTGCCTATCCCAGACGTGCACTCTGCAAATTTTACTAATTAAATGATCCTGAAGAAACGCTCTGTCATCTTGCCTGTACTACTGTGTATGTACAGCAAAATGACAGTAAACTTGATTTGATTTGATTTGATTTGATTTGAAAATGAGCCTACAGTGAGTAGAAATGTGACAGGATCTAAAAACATCCAGTAACTTCTTGGAGTTCAGCAAATTAATCTGTTGGAGTCCCAGCAAAAGGTCACCAATGTATTAGATAATAAAGAAAGAAAATGCCTGCAGCAACAAAGTCTATTACGTTTATTTTATTGAATATATTCAAAATAATCACTTCTCATGCCTGTAAATTGTCAGAATGAGGCTATTTGAGTTGAGACAAACAGCAAAAGCAGGTAAAAGGAGTTTCTCTCTTTCAGACATTAGTTCTGTTTTACCCACAGGGATCAATTAAGTTTGACCCTAATGAGCAGTCTGGAAGAGCTAATATGGCATTTAAATGACTGACAGTCTTATCTCATTAATGCTGCTGAGCTGACCTCACATCTCACTGGCTGCTGCCCTGTTTTCTGTCTGCCAGGCTCGGTATTCGAGCCAGGTGTCGGCGGCCCTGATGTACCTGGAGACCCGCCTGGCTCTGGATGTCTCAAGCAACTACAGCTTGAGCCTGCTCATCTACGCTCTGGCTCTGGACGGGAGCTCCAACGCCCGAACGGCACTCACCGATCTGATCAAACGAGCTGAGAAGATAGGTACGACAACAGATGTGTCTTAATATTTTAAGTGAATAGTATTTTTTTGGAAAGATGGTGATGATGTATTTTGGTTCATTTTATTTTTTACAGACACAGATTTAATTAGAACTGTCTTTCAGAGTTTGACATGTACTAACTTGTAATTGCGGTCTGAAAGTATCTTTACATGAAGTCAGCTTTAAAAAAAAAAAGAAAAAGAAAAAAAAAACAGAAAATTGTACCTACACGTCTAACATCCTTCACTTCGGTCTTGTGTGACTCCAAAGCACTCTGACTTTGTTTTGCAGTTTTTCAACATTTTTCCCTTCTTCTGTAAATGAAGAGTTCATTTGCTAAAACAGAGAACTCCATTTTTGTAGATTTTCAGAATTTTTTTGTTGTCTGCTTGAGATAATATCAATCAAACAGAAGCTGAGTGGATTTGACTCAGTAGACATGACATGACAAAAATAGAGATAACTTAAGTTTGATTGATATCATGTCAGGTAGACGATGGAAAAATGGGTTTTCTGAAGGTTTGTGAAGATGGAGTTATCTGTTTTTGCAAATGAACTCTTCAAATGTTCCTCTGTGAGCAGACGGAGGCCTGAGGTGGACCTCCCCGTCCGGCAGCAGGTCGTTGAAGCCTCGCTCTGCAGATATTGAAATCGCGTCCTACGTACTGCTGTCTCTGTACAAGCTGGGTTTGGTCTCGGAGGGTATCAGCCTCATGAAGTGGCTCAGCCAACAGAGAAACGACAGGGGAGGATTTGGAAGCACTCAGGTCAGATCTTACAGTCAACTTGAGCTAGTATTTTTTGGAGCAATCAGCATTTACATTGTCAAATAAATGATTTGTAAATAATGTGACCGTTTACAGCTCATGTAGTAAATCTAGCAGGTCAATAGGGGTTAGGTTTGGCTAGAGAGTAAATGAAAGAGAACACAGACACATTCATGGAAATATATGCTGCTGATAAACCGGCACGAACATGTCAGGAAACATTTGCAAAGCCTTCAAAATCCTGTGGCTTCTTCTTTTTCTCCTCTTCTTTTACTTGATTATATCATTTTCAGCAACAAAAAAGCAATAAAACCAAACACTGTCTACTGTACAGACAAGACTTCTTCACTGCTGGTCAAATTGGATCTATGGAAAAGGAAAAAATCCCCATCCGTGTCACTTGAGCAGTAAACTGTGGTTATATGTCGCATCAGAGGGAGGCTGTGGCCGTCTGGGTATGTGGTGACGAAAGAAACGTCCTAGCACGCACGGACACTCTTACGTGCACAAACATGCATGACAGATGGGAGACAGAAAACATCTAAATATTGTCAGTGGCTTCAACTAAAGCACAGCAAGGCTTTGTGTGGTGGAAATTTACAGAAAAACAGATGCACAAACCATGTGCAAGATGAGGACGTGCAGCTTCACTCATGCACGGCTGTAAACAGGAAATCAGCAGTGAATATCAAAGCAGGCGTCCATCAGTGACTGAGCTGTAGCATCCTCAGATATGCAACGTGTGACCCTGAATCTTGTTTTCTCTCAGGACACGATCGTGGCTCTGCAGGCCTTATCCACGTACGCAGCTCTGGGAGGTTCTGAGGACACCGACCTCACCATCACGGTGGACAGCGACTCTTTGACCGCCCCCGTCTCTTTCCACATCGAGAAGGAGAACTTCCTGGTCTATCAGAGCCAGCAGGTACACTGAGCCGCATTTATCAGAAACGCCAGCACAAAACGTTGTCCAGCAGTGTTTGTGGAAGTGAGTCAGATGTCTGCTGATGATTAAACACTGTCAACAACCAATGAGAGTTCACAGAGCGGTGAGGCAGAAGAATGCGTATTTCCAGGATGTAAGAACACACTGATGATGTAGCAGTCTCAATTTACCACAAGTATTAGTTTGGACTTAAGGGAAGGATAAAAGTGAGGGTTCTTCAATCTTAAAGATTATTTTGGGGGCATTTCCAGTTCTAACATGCATCAAAAGTGGCACTTGTGAAGTGCTGTAGCGATTCATTGATGAATTATTATTATTATTTGACAACTATTTCTACGGTAGGTTTTTTATTGACTCAATTGCATTTTTGTAAAAAAATAAAAAATCTGATTCCAGCTCTTGAGATTCTTATATGTAAACCTTTTCGGATGATTTCCTCCTCTCTTACTGTACACTAAATGGCTTTGGGCTGTAGACAAAACAAGATATGTGTCATCTAAGGCTTTAGGAAACACTGATCGACATTTCTCACCTGTTTCTGGCATTTTATAGACAAAACAACTGATCGATCAATCAGGGAAATAACTGACAGAATAATCGACATGCTCCTTTATGTGGTATGTGTCTCATAAGCTGCTGGATGCTCAAAATCCTTCACTCATAGATGAACAATCTGATCTGGAGGTAGCTCTGTTAATAGTCTGGACAACAACGTAGCAAAGCAGGCACCAGAGCCCCAGTTCCCCAGGAGGCCCCAGAAGACAGATTTACTCCACATGATTTGGGTGTACATACTTTAAATGAATCATAAATTTGCACTCGTCCTCCCTCTTCTGAGTTTGGTCTTGTAGACGGACTCTGTGTCAAAATGTACTTTTGAGACCTTCAAACCATCAACGCACAGAATTCTGTCATAGGAAGACCGTGAGGCTGCAACCAATGAGTATTTTGTATCAATACTAACGATTCTTCTTCAAAGTTTGTAAAAGTATATTTCCTTTTTTTAACTTAATTTTTGACTGCTTTTCATGATTATAAAAGAAGAAATGAGTGTATGTGAAGCACAACTTAGTGAAACAACTTAAAACGTCTCTTAGAAATATGTGTATAATAGTTGTAACTCTTTTACAGACTCTTTTACATCAATGTTAATTGTGGCACCTAATATTGATCTAGTTTCACTATTTTGAGGAAAATGTGTTGTAGTTTTAGTCAGATTTTAGTGGTTAAATCATTTTTATTTTTGTTGTTTAGTTGTTTTCTGCAGAGATTCAAAGCCCCACTCTGCTCATTGATTAAATCCCTAAAAAAATCATGTCTGTGTATCAAAATTACATATTTTTGACATTTTTTAAAAATAAAAATAATCCCCCTCCTGCCATATAATGACTCAGATGTAGCTTCACACTGTCCATTCCTTTAGAATTTGCAGATCTATTAAGTCCCTGACCTCGCTCCATCCATCCTGCCACACTCACTGCAGGTCAAGCACACCAGCTCCGACTATAAATCCAACAAAATGTTATATGCCAGAAAAAATACAGTCATTTTGCTTGTCACATTTCAGATTGAGCCACAGAACGTGCAGAACCTGCATCTCCAGGTGACGGCAGAAGGTCGTGGAATCGCCCTGTTTCAGGTACGAGGACTGAACACTGTAGCAGCGCCCCCTGCTGGTCAGGGATAACGGACTCGTTTTTAATGGGTTTAGTTATACAGTGCTGCCTGTTTATTATCATACCCACTGTCCAGGATGGAATTATGACTATATCTGGGATATTCCAATAACCAGGCTTCAAGATTAGCGTATTGAAGTGTCCACAACGATAGAGCACTGAGAAAATTGTGTCTGTGTGATGAAAAACGGGGGTTTATACGTAAAGCCAAAATGGGAACAATTTCATAAGATCAGAAGGACAGTTTCTTTGAAGATCGAAAAAGGTTTGTTCAAACAGAGCTTTATGTTTTGCCTTCAATGAAATTTCACCTTTGTCAGTACGAAAAGCCACCTCATCAATAAAAGTTATGTCCTTTAATCAGAGGGTATACAGAGGATTAATTTATCAGGATTAACGAGCTGAGCAGTTCAGTTATGAGTGACAACAGGCTCTGTAACAATGCGATTGTCTTGGATGCTCTCTAATTAATGTCAGACAGTGTGTGAATAACTCAGTGAAGCAGATCTCAGGTGAGCAAGTAACTGACCAACAAACAAACATGTTGCCTTCTACGGCTGACCGGGGTGACATAATCTGCCATGAATGACCAACACTCGGCCGACCATGACTTTCAACAGGCAAAAGTTATTCCTGGAATCAATTTCGGGGAATTTTGTTATGACAAAAAGCGGGATTATGACATTATTCTAAGACAATAAACAGACTGTTTTACTATAGGTTGTATAGGGAATGATTCAGGACTTAGATGATTATAAAAGCGGTATGACATTAAGTGGGAAGCACTGCAATAATATAATAATAAAAAAGATGTTTTGAATATTCTGATGATACAACAAAACTAAATTAACAAGAACGTGAAATCATCAATATATTGTTCAAATAATGGCAAACAAATAGTTTTAATAGAGGTACCCCTTGTGGCAGAAATGACAAACTGTGAGGTAATACAACAGTTTCCACCCAAAATATATCACAATATAATGCTGATTAAATGTTAATATATATATATTTTTCTTCATAATATCATTTTTAAAATACTATATATTCAGCAGATAAGTAAATGAATGTTAACATTAAGTATAGGTTTGTAAATAGGTTTGCTACTTGTTGACAATAAATATGATTTTTCTTCGATGGTAAATTCATTTGCTCTTCTCTCACAGCTGAACGTGATTTACAGCGTCAGGAATGAGAAGCTGATGAGGAGGAGGAGACGACACGCCGGCGAGTACGAGCCTTTTAAGCTGGACGTCGAGCTGGACGACCAAGAAATGGACACGGCTCATCTGTACATCTGCTACAGGTGAGCAGGGTGAAAATGCCAACAGCGTGATGCGTCATCAGTGTCAGTAACACAACAACCAGCGGCAGCAGGACGTCTGTCAAACTTTGATTACACCTGTTTACAAACAGCAAAACATAATCAGCAAGAACATAGACCAACAAATCAATTTGAGGGCAGAAACATCTGAAACATTTGTCAAATAAACATATATGTTTGAGCTGGTAGTCAAAATTTTAATCATGACAATTTTACTCTGTTAGATTTGCTAATATTTTAAAAATTTTTAGTCTTTTATTACCGCCGCCAAGTAGGTTATGTTTTAGCCGGCGTTTATCTGCAGAATGCTGTCGATGCATTGTTTGTCCACTAGATGGAGCTCTGACTCCATTTAATTCTTCAGTCCTCACTGCTGTTTTCTCAGTAGTTCAGGAGGAAGCTACAGCCAGGCAGCATTACAGGAGTGGGCTGAGCGGAGCTACTGACAGATAAGTTCATAACGACGTCGTGACATAAACAATGACTCAGCATGTCTGCTGTTTCACTTTAACACTCTTTGCCATGTGTCATGACAACTGAGGCGTGCTTTGTTGCGTAGGTCATGCTTTTCATTTACGTTGCATTGCTAAAGTTGTGCTAACCTAGCTTAAGTTACTTCCTTTCTGTTCATGTTAGCAATAACATGGCTGTAGTTATGTCAAACTAGCATAGCATTAGCTAACAGCTTAAAAGCCAGTAAGTCACTGCAGAAATAACGTAAGTGTACAAAATATTTGAGAGAACGACCGTTAATCACTCCGTCAGCTTGTTATTAATGATGTCAATGTTAATTCAAATGCTAAAGGTGTGCTTTTATTCTCCATTAATCTAATAGTGTAGATAAAATGAATGCAGGGCGTTAACATTGGCTGGAAATCACAATATGGTGGAAATGATGGTCTGCGCTCTGAGGGATGTTCTCGTTTGTCATGCATTTTAATGTAAATTAACTTCTTTTTTTTTTAATGTAGTTGTTTTGATTTTATTTTATTATTAATCAATTAAATAACATTACAGCATTTTACATTATGTTTAATCATAAAATAATGATGCAGATATTTTTCATTTTAAGGTAAATACTGTAATTTTAAGTTTTGAGCAATGTACATAATAATGAATAGTAGAATAATTAATTAATTTCAATTATTTCTTTTTTTAATTTTAACTATTATTAATTTTATTAGATTTATTGTCAAATTAAGTGAAAAGAGGATTTGAAAACATTTAACTTGAATGTTGTTAAAGGCTCCAGCCCCCCTGCGACCCCAGTGAGGACTGAGTGGTGTATCGACTGTGTGTGTAAATAAATTGTTCCATTTTACAGCAGTATTTTTTAATGTGGATTTCCTCTCCTTGTTCTGTGGTCCACTGCAGTCTGTCACATGATCTGGGCCTGAACGCGACAGGAATGGCCATCATGGAGGTGGGTCTGCTGAGCGGCTTCACTGTGACTCCGGACAACGTCGAGACTGACCGAGTTGTAAAGAAGGTGGAGACGCAGCCGGGAAAAGTCATCCTGTACCTGGACTCTGTGAGCAGCACTCAAACACACTGCACTGAATGTGATGTCTGTCTATCTGTCTGTATGTCTGTCTGTCTCTCTGTCTGTCTGTCTGTCTGTCTGTCTGTCTGACTGACTGACTGACTTTCTGAGGACAAATGCTGACAGGATAACTGTAAATATGTTTCCAGGTGACGACAGTTGAGATGTGCCTGACGATTCCTCTGGTCAGGGAGTACAGAGTCGCCAAGGTCCAGGGAGCAGCAGTTCTCCTCTATGACTATTACGAACCAAGTAAGATTGTATTCGTACCTTTATTCCTCCACAGATAAGCAGAAAACAAGGCTGCGATCACAGTGGTTGCTTTTAAAAGCATAACCATGTGCACAGACAGAACTTACAGTCTGTTTTAGGAGTGGAGCCGACTTTGTTCGGCTTTCAGCCCGTATGACCTCAGAAATTTTACACGTGAACAGAAATACATTAAAACACAAAGCAGACAGAGACAGAACATAAATGTCTCATGCTGAACTTTGACCTCTGAGCCTTCATTCACTCCTGCAGGTCGCAGGACAGTGACGACGTATAGTTCAGCATGGAGGGCCAACACAGACGCCTGCGCCTTCTGTGGTGACGACTGCAAGGACTGCCAAGCTGATGCCCACCCACTGACCGCCGCTGCACCTTCCAGCCGCCTCCACCTCCTGCTGAGCAGCTCCGTGCCAGCTCTGCTCCTCCTCGTCATCGTCCTCGGCATGTAAATACGATCAAAGGGCAGTTCAGCTGCAGGTGTACAGATCTGGTGAAGTGTTTTTTGTTTTTTTAACTAAAGCTATTTTAATCAAATGTGTTATAGAGTTCTAAAGTTAAGTAAACATTGTAGATTGGTAGAAAAAAAATTCAACCTGAATGAGAAACTTAGATTTCTGGGATTCGCTGTTGCAGACTTTTTACTTCTTGTTGCTTCAGCACTGTGTCGACCAATCAGATACGTGGAATCACACATTTCTCATAGATTACTGTGTAACACAAGCAGAAGTCAAGAAAATCCTTTTGGTTGAGGAAAAATAAACGAAGACTCGTCTCTTGATTCTGTGCACGCAAGATTTTTATGTTAGGAATAAGACATTGATCATATCAGAGCTGCATCTTTGAAGAGCTGATACAACATGATGCTTGAAATGTCACACTGATGAATTCACAGTCACACAGTAGGACTAAAAAAAACTTTTGACAGATACTTTTGCAATGTAAGTTCCAATATGTTTGGAAACAGTCATTTTTGCATTTGTTTTCCAACAATAAAAAAAAACAAAAACAGGAGCTCATTCAGCTACTTTTAATGAATAATAATGTTTGACAAAATGAGAGCAAACGCAGGGTAAAAACTTGCCCCTAAGAGACCGACTTTGATGAACTTACTTGTTGTCACACTGGTTCCTAAATCGGCCTGTATGTTGGTGTAAATGTCACAGTCCAAATTAAAATCCAGGCAGATTTTGAATTTGTAGATTTAATTTTGATTTCGTTTAGACCAAATGAAAACCCTTCTAACATTATAATGAGATTGTAATGGTGCCTGGGTCTATTCATCTAGACCCAGGCACCATTACAATCTCCATCCATCCATTATCTACACACCGTTTAATCCTCACTAGGGTCGTGGGGGGCTGGAGTCTATCCCAGCTGACTCAGGGTGAAGGCAGGGGACACCCTGGACAGGTCACCAGTCTATCACAGGGCTACACTTAGAGACAGACAACCAAGCACACTCACATTCACACCTACGGACAATTTAGAATCACCAGTTAACCTCAACATGTTTTTGGACTGTGGGAGGAAGAACCCACGCTGCACAGGGAGAACATGCAAACTCCACACAGAAGATCCCAGTGCCCCCACTGGGACGCGAACCGGTGACCTTCTTGCTGTGAGGCGACAGTGCTAACCAACTGCACCACCTTGCAGCCCCATTACAATCTCATTGATCTCAAAGTGAAATCATCCTTATTACAAATTGAGATCGTAAGCCCGTCTAGGCAGGTTTAAAATTTGACCACACCAAATTAAAAATCAGAATTCAATCAGAATTATAGCATTGATTTCACCTAGACCAAATTAAAATCATTCATATAATATATACAATCTCATCATGATATAAGAAGGATTTTAATTTGGTCTAGGCACAATCAAAATTTTAGTTCTGCCCAGGCAGATTTAAAATCCACCTGGATTTTAATTTGGACTGTGACAATAACATGCCATCAGGGGCCAGTCTCATGATAGTTGCAACTGCATGTAAAATAAGGTTTTCTCGTGTGTTTTTTTTTTTTTCAAAAAAAGAAAAAACAAAAACACTAGTGACCCTTGAATGAGCAGGAGAGAACTGTGGAACCTGTGAGTGTATCTGGGTTGATGCTGGCACATTTGCAATCTGCATGTTTGTTGATTTGGCAAAAACATTTCTTCCATTTGCTGGGTTAGGCTCCAAGCCCCTCCGCGACCCTAGTGAGGATTAAGCAGTGTATAGATAATTGATGGATGGATGGATTTCTTCCATTTTCACACAAAAGCCAAATTTCACACTGAGCTGATAAAATTTTGTCAAAGCAAAGAAGACTGTGCTGCAGGAAAACTCTCAACGCCTCCATGAACCTAATTGCCACACAAACAGGTGTCGCTTCTCATATTTGAGTTCATCCTGTGACCCGCTTTAGGTCTCTGTGGATGTTCAGATACAGCTGTGAGTGAGAACAGTAGCCCCGTGAGACTAATGAGCGACAGAAACCAAAGCGTCGGCATGAAGGATTTACTCCGTGGACATTAACCGCACTGGAAGTGACTTTAATCAAACTGTTGCCGTGACGGAGATGAACGACCAAACACAAGCGGGAGCATGAGCAGCACTCAGAGGCCTCCCATAAATCTGCATCCTAAAGCACGTACACTGTCGGCCGCTGCGGCAGCACGATAAATCCCTGCGACAATCAAAGTGATGTGTGCATAAACATTAACGACAAAGCATCTTCAAACTTCAAAGCCTCTGTGATGATGGACAGCTTGAGCGGCGAGTCGAGTCGAGAATATTTGACCCACATGTGGACGAGAGACGCAGGCCGGCCCGGCATTTATCTGCTCTCTGGCTTTTTACGGCCTCAGGTGTTCTGCCTCATTACAGCCGACCTCCATTCAAGGTGCACGACGCCCCAAAGGTCACATTTATCAGAGAAGAAGCTACGTGTACTATCACTGCAGGACGTGTAGACTGTAGAGTAGCTTACATTTGGCTGACAGTATCGGGCTTCCTGTGTCATCATCTGTTCACTGCAGTTAGTTCTCAGGGTTTGATAAAAGGCCGCCTGCCAGTTGTTTTAAAGCTGGAGGAAGTCATTTCGGACCACTAGGGCGCAGAAATACACAAGTCGTAAACCAGTCATTGTAACTAAAGCAAAACCTGCAACATATTGAACCAATTTATGTTTAATTTGTCTGAACATATGGTCAGAACTTCATCTGAGGCCGTGTCCACACGTAGCAGGGTTTTTGTAAAACCAAATATCCTCCCCCCCCGGCCCAGAAAAAAACTAACAGACACACCACCTCACTTTTAGAAAGAGAATTCATCAACACCTAACCACATTAGTGCGTCAGTAAGCACATTCATATTCTACATGAGGATGTAATAACTCCGACAACAGGAGCGACGACCAGGACAATTGTCACCTCATTCCTCCTGGAGCACGATTTCCGTCTCAAAGTTCTCCCACCAGCCGGCAGTGCATCCCGATCTGACCCAAAACCGCCGTTGGTGTCTTTGACAGAGAACATGCGTCGGACGTGGAATGGCAAGGTGGCAGAAAATAACCGTCCTTACAGTCGTCCTTCGCCTGTGTTCTTGTACATGGAGCGTATCTAGGCCTGGACAAGTTTTGACACAGTTCTGAGGGCGTCCACGCTGTTTCCAAATGTAAACACAGGTCACATATGTGATGTAAAGAACATATTTTGTCGCAGGCAGTGATGTTTCGTAACCTAAAACCCCAGTTATTGATGTCCACATGCAGACGCATAAACAGAGGATTCACAAATTTTCACTTTGCTCTTGAGAGGTTCTACAAAGGTCTTTTGCATTTGGAACCAGCTCAAAGTTTCTGTTTGCCCTAAAATGTCCTGTAAGTTCCTGCAGTGTTGCTGGTAACCTTCAGGAGCTGGACATTTGTGAAGCTTCTGATTGGTTTTGTGGTTGGGATCGTATCACCTGCTGGTGTGGCAGCACCTTAGTTGTGTTTAGATGAGATTAATTTGTTTTTTCAGAGCTAAAAAAAGTACTTATGTACACATTCTCTAGCCCTGAGTTTCACTGTAAACCTCTGGTGTTCCTCCAGTGCTGACTCTGCATCGAGGCAGGCTGACTGACCAAACTCCTCGAAAGTTGCAAAAAAAGACCTTTGTTTCCTGAATGGAGGAAACTCCTCACACCTGCAGATATGCAGCGATTTCACAGGGGCGACCTCAGTAATAAATAAAATTAAACTGCTTTCATGAAAATAGTGGAGGAAAGAGAGATATTGGCAGCGGCTAAAGTTTGAAGGCAGAGCTGTGGAGTAATGTCTGGTTGCAATCTGCAAATAATTATAAATACATATGTTCCTCCTGAGGCAGGAAACTGAGTTATCGCTTTACTGTAGTCATGTAAAAAAAAAAAAAAAAAAGAGCTGTAGATCTGTATGTGTCTAACAAAGCAAATAGAGACAGAAAAAAGGAGTTTATCAGCTAAAAAATATGTACGGAGCAAAATGAATGAATGAATGGAAACACAACCAGTTTTTATTTGACTTTTCCTGTAAAGCACTTTGTACCTCAGTTCATTCAGTTCATTATTATTAATAATAGTGTTTTTATTTGAAGAACGAGACAGACGATAAGAGTGAAGACACAGAGGAGCATTTCTGAGTTTTACTGTAACATCTGTATGCAGCTGAAGTGAAACAGACTCTTCAGTACATGCAGTAGTGGAAGAACTCCGATCTGTAACTCAAGTAAAAGGAGCAACTTAAGAATACTCAGTCAAGTAACTCCAAACCTTACTTGAAAGTATTATCAGAAAAATGAAAGCACCCTTTCAATTATTGTATCATAAATTGAATGTATTTTATATCATTCATTATTTTATAAACCCAATCTGATGTAAAGTAACTAAAAACTACAGCTGTCACATAAATGTAGTGGAGTAAAAAGTACAAGATCCAAAGGAGAAATTAGAAAACAACAAAATTACTCAAATAAAATACAAAGGTCTTGCAATTGTAGTACATCTATAATAGCAGTATAAACCACAGAGTTCATTGGACAGCTCATGGAAGTTCCTGGTGAGAGGTTTCCAAAGTTTGCTGGTTTGTATTTTTACCATAAAGGTCCCATATGATACTGTTTTTAACTATTTAAGTCCCACATGTTCCCACAATGTGTCTCTCAAGTTTTGTTGCATTTTACCATGACGTGGTATCGTGATCTAGTCTGAATTGTTGTGCATGACGCTGTTCAAACAACCTCTCGCTGGATATCAGTCCGGCGAAGCATTTGAACAGCGTTAGCAGAAGTACTGGTGGCTGCTGTGGTGGATAAATGTTATGAAGCAGAAAGAGCTTTTCAGCAACAAGTTTTTGTAGAAAAAAGGGCTTTGTTCTTCAGAGAGTTGTGGTTGAAATTGACTAGAAGTTGGGCCTCAGGCTCTGACATGGTGGTCAAACAACTTGTCATATGCAGTAACAGCTGCAGTGTAGCAGCATGTTTGAAAAGCAAGTCGACTCTGACTCCATCTTGCCGTAGCTTCTGATGTTTTGTAATAACATTTTGACAATTCCTGTTTGAGATACCGTTGAACTCATTCTAAGCAGTTCAAACTGAAAACGGAAAATATCGATATCTTGAATTGAGGGGAATTATTGATATCTTGAGCAACAAGTCGGGATTAAACTGT